TTCGCCCATGGACATTTGGGTGCCTGAGTTTGGTGCCAGGTCCAAAAATTAAACAACATGACTCATATAAAATTCTTACCAAATTTGCTTGTAGGGCGTCCTGTGTAGGGAGTCCCCGCGGGACACTGTGTAGGAGAGGCTCAGGCAATTAGTCACATTTTTTGGCAGGAGTAGGAAGGGTATTCAGTGGTTTTCAAATCAAAAAGTCACCTAACCCACTTGTTTTTTAAAAAGAAGGAGTCTCATCAATAAACTATCTAGACAGATTTGTTCATGAGCCTCTGATACTCATGTTTGACAGATTCAGGTTTCACCTAAGTCATAGCCCCAAATTCATCTTTTTAGCAGCTCCAAGAGAACAGGGAAAAAAATGGGTTGCCAGAAAAAAGGAAAACCAAGGAAATTAATTTGGAAGTTCCAATGCCATCACTGTTTCTCCAATTTTTGATGCAGAAAAACATGTTGATACAATGGAAACATATACATTGCAGATGATGGGATCCACAAGTCATCATCCTTGTGGATGCATGGCAGATCCTGGTGGGTCCTTTTTTGCAAAATGGAATTTTTTCCATTTCCAGAAATTTATTCATGAAAAATTGTTCAATTGAGCATTGTACCTAATCTAAACTGAAGAGGAGATTTAATTCCATTAACAAGTTGTGATTCAGGAAGTTGAAGCAAAATGGTGATGGGCTTTTAAAACCATTGAAACAGCTCCCTAAAAAAGGGTACTTTCTGCTCCTGGTCAAAATTTAGAGTTTAAGCCCAAGTCCCTCCCAGACTTTGTTCCCAAAAAGAGATCTGCATTGCTGAGATTTAAGCCAAATTCAATTTGCCTGGTTCAATGTTTCATTGTTTCAGGGAAACCAAATACTTGACATACAAGGTCTGAGGAATAGTACATCCAGAAAAAGGTTTGAAGATGTGACCACCTTGTACATACAACCAGTTTGCTTGAGAAATCCAAGAATTCCCGACTAAGTATTAATTTGGTTCTACCTGCCAGGCCAAATTTTGTGTTGTTTGAGAGGAAAAAAATAACCTGTCAATTCAGCGGTGGGCCGCTACGCTACACTTTTGGCCCAAAAAGCGTAGCGTAGCGGCGCTTTTTTTGCGCCAAAATTTTGTAGTGTTGGTGGTTTTGTAGCGCATTTTCGCTACGCTACGCTGCGCTACAGCGCTTTTAGAGGTAAAAGCGGCTAAAACCCGCTAAAAAGCGCTGTAGCGCAGCGTAGTGGGCCCTTTTTTGCGGCCCACACGCGTAGCGTTAGCGGTGTCGTGGCAGAATTCCGCTACGCTACGCTTAACGCTAACGGGAGTTCCGCTGTGTTGCGCTACACTAACCGCTACGGTTAGTGTAGCGGCCCACCGTTGCTGTCATACAACTCCTGAGAAATGATTTGGTGAAAAAGGTTTGAAATCAGGTCCATTTCACTATCAGGATTCAGAAAACCAGAATGAGTTTCATTCAACTCATTCAATCCCACTTCAGAATTGATTCCAAGGTGATGTCAAACTCAAATCAGTTCAGGTGAGATGGAGTAGGGTTAATTCAACCTATCTGGAGAGGGGTTGGATAGGATGTATTAAACCTAGATAAAGTGAGATTAAATTGTTTGAATTCATCTTATTTAAAATTGAATTTACTAGTTTAAATGCAAAATATTTAGGCTTTCTGGAAGTTTATGCAACTGGTCTGTTTCATTTTTGAGAATACAGGCAGATACACGTTGAGGTCCAATGTTTTTCAATACAAAGATGTGGCAAAAATCAAAATGTAGGCAAAATAGTAACTTAAACCTACATGAGTTTTGATACAGATGGTATGGTGTTTTATTTTCTGTTGTATCAATTTCACAGATGCTGCAGGATCATTACACACTTTTCAGGGGTGTAAGAAAATTGTATTGGTGTGCTTTTTTTAACCAAAAGTGGCAGGCAGGTTAGATTATAAATAGCCCTTGTCTTTCCACCATCCCACTTACTTGACTCTTGATCGCAAATATCATCAATATAATATTCTCTGTGCACAGTTATCAATATCACACTAACAACCCAGTCACCCACAGCCATGTTATCAAACAATATGTTAGTTTCCTTTCAAATTTTAAATTACTGCAGTGTTTCTGCACATCCACTTTTATATTCAAAGAATCTAGTAAAGAGAGCAGAAAGTTCTTTCAATAGAATTTCAAATTTTTCCTGTGTGTCACTTTAATTATATAAACAATTTGCTATAAATGGGACAGTTTATTTTTTTCCTTCTTATAAATTGAGAATTTTCATTTTTCTGATTTTTATGTTGATCATTGATGATTCTAGCACCTGGGAGACTGGATTTTGGAGATTCAGAAATGGTAGAATCTGGTATGTCAGCATTTTGTTGCATTATAATATTAGGTTCCAACTACAGATCTTTCATTTCTTTTCATTTTGAAATTTTATTTTAAGAAGAACAATCAAACCATGTTAGTTCAGGTGTGTGGTAGTATATTCATCACATTCAACTTTGCTGTGCAAAATCTGACAAAACATAACAAATTTTGAATTTTAAAATCACTTTCTGAAATGATATGATTGGTGATTAAAACACAGATTCCTTGATGGTGTTCTTGGCTTTGCTGTATTGATGATCAATCTTCTCCTCATAGAACGACCCTTGAAAAGGGGAATTAGTTGACTGATTTCATCAATTCTGTTGAATGTATTCAAACAGATGAATGAGTATCAACATCTATTGAATCAATTAAATAATATGGAAATAGGGAGACAAAAAGAAACTATAAAGAATATTATACCATCTGCTTGTGAGACTGCAGTATTCTCAGGTAAGTTGCTTTGGCTAAAATCAATTTTTTCCATGGGAGATATGTACTTAGATAAATAGATTTTTTAACACAATTTATAAACTGTTCGTTTCTTGAACCAGGTTTACCTGGATGGCTTGCCCCCTATCTTAATAATATATTTTCTACATGTAGCAAAAAGCTCCGGGAGCGTGGCATTCCCAATGACCTTATCTCCAATGTTGAAAGATATGCTTTAGAATTGCTAAAAAGTGAAAATATTTCTGATAAAGTTGGCCAGATGAAACCAGAAAACATAGATGCATATATAAACCATATTTTGCCACATTATCACCAGATTGCAACCAACCATATAGTTCAAAAATGATTAGTGTTTGGAGTCGGTTCTATAATCATGATTCTTATTTTATCATAAACTATAAGAACATATGTACACAATCGAGTACTAACGACTTCCCA